TCAACTCGGTCCTACTGGGTCCTCTCAGTTAGGGCCATGCCTTTATAATCCCTGGCAAGTGCAGATATTAAAATTCACATATATGATGTTTCCATATTGAAATATCAACCACAGGCTTCTTTCTTATTCCATTCAAAACCACTTTGCATAGTCCAGTTACTAATCCTCACAGCACCCCAGTGAAAAAGGCAGTATTATGCTTTAGTTTCTAAATAGTCATGTGAAAGTTTGGTAATTTGCCTACCCCAGGGAAAAGAAGTAGCAATTTCAGTAAGAGTCTGAAGTTCCTGAATCCAGGTGCTTTGATCAGACTTGGGACATTAACCATTATTTGCCACATAAACTGAAGTATTTAGTTGTATACTATCTAACCAATATGCATTCTGGCTTCTCTAACTCAGTAATTTCAGTTTCCTCATTTCCCTTTGCTTTCCCTGCTGGGATCTCATGCTATAATTAGCCTTAGGTTGGAGGAACTGGCAGGAAAGTTCAGTACCAACTCAGAATGTTTTCCATCATTTGACCAAACCTCGAATGCTGAACATTTCTAACATTCAAAGAGGGTTTGTTTAAGTTTTCCAGTTTTACCCTCCTGGTTTCAAATGCCACCAGATGCAGAAGGGCCAAAACTCTGTAAGGAGAAACTATTTTAAACAAGCTTTCTGGCCCAGAGCAGCCTGAAAGGACCCAGATGCATCTGAGAGAAGCAGCCAAACCCCTGGGTGCCTGTGCAAATGGAGCCTCTGGAACCGGGGAGGCTTGTCTGTTCCAAGGATGCAGAATTCAAGAGTGGGCCCCTTCTTTTGGAGAAAAGCAGGGCACGACCTTGGCAAGGCAGTGGCTGGAGAGCAGGGCCAGGCAACCCTCTGGGAAGGGGACAGCCCATGGCGGGACTGCAAGGCCACCTGCGACGCTGCCTGCCACGTGGACATGTGCTGTGTGTCTGGAAGAACTCACCGGATTAATGTGTTTCCAAACTGCAAACCAGGTGAAAACTGAGAATCTGGTGCCCCTGGAGGAAAAAGCCTTCTGTTTATATACACATGGCCACCAGCTAAGCAGATGGAGCACACGGGGCGCCTCCCTACATTGTGTGTCAAACCTCAAACTGTAAACTTGACCCAAACACAGCACTTGAGAGGTCTGAGTGACAATCCAAGAAAATGCTACCTTAGAGGACATGAGCCTTGCCTCTTGTCAGTTTCTGCTATCTAGAAACATCCAAGACTTACAAAATTATGTCAGAACAACAAAATAGAAAAGTTTCAGAAAGCTCAAAGGAAAAAGACATCTCAAAGAATGTAAACCCTTACCATGTTATTCTTTCTTTACTAAATTCCAATAGATGCAAGGCTTTTCTTAGAGCAATGCTTCTCAAACTTTAACGTGTATAAGAACCTCCCGAGGAACTTGTAAAAATACAGATTCTCGGCCAGACACGGTGGCTCATGCCTGTAATCCCAGCACTTTGGGAGGCCAAGGCGGGTGGATCACCTGAGGTCAGGAGCTCAAGACCAGCTTGGCCAACGTGGAAAACCCCTGTCTCTAAT